AGAGGCATGAAATGTTAAGGAATTGATATCCTGTTTGGTTTTGGGTTTTTTTGTTAATTATCTGAAGTAGCATGAAATCTCTATGGGAACTACTCTTTCCTCCTGACTCATGTCAACAGGCAGGCTGTGACAGGGATGCTTCCACCCCTACTTATTCCAAGGCTGGAATCCTGAAGACAGGTTATTTGTTCCTCTGCTCTGCATCACTCTGCATAATTCTGGATGCCCTTTGCCTGGAGGAAATCACAGCCCAGTTGAAGGTTCAGAGGCTTCCTGCCAGTGTGGGAGGAGAAGTGGGAGTGGATTTCACAGAAACCTCTGATCAGGAAGCTGCCCCAGCAAGCTGGTAGAGAATGGCTGCATTCCAGGGGAGTTTCTTAATTGCTGTGCTACTGGGGCATGCTGGGGAGCATATTCTGGCCAATGCCAAATACTCTTGTTTTCAGCTGCCTTTGCCCAAGCACTTGATGGAGGGGTTGTGCTTCAGCCCACAGGTGAGGCAGGGAGGGAGCTTCCTGTGGTGGGAATCTCATTCAGGCTTAAGGGGTGAGCTAGCAGGTTTCAAGGGCTGTCAATAAGACTAGGATTCCTTGCCTTCTGGCAAAATTTTAGGTTCATAGGAATGTAAGTAAGTGTCAGCAAGTGCCTCACTCTGGAGATGGCAAAGCTCTGCAGTGCCTTTGAACCTTCCAAGAACTGGTGCCAAATAATAAAAATGTCGTGTATCTGCCTTGTGCCCAAATTCACAGGCTAAAGCAGGTTTTACACTTGCAGGGATATTTTTTTACTGAGCAAATGCAATAGTCTGGTTTTGCATCTCTAAGAAGCTGGTGTGCTACTTACCTTGTCCCTGGTCTTTAACTAATTACAATTTTAAAAATGTTGTTGTTCAGTGTTCTTAATATGGGCTTTATAGTGAGGAAACGTTACATCCTGTTCACATGGTAACATCCAGTAAAACACAAATATTGAAATTTCTGCAAATTTGTCCCACATTTTATGTAGTTGCATTATATGCATTCAATGTGCTCAAAGATTATTTAATTAAAATAATTTGTTACTGTGATTTAAGCAAAACTTCATGTGTTCTTTGTCCAGGATCTTTGTCTACCTTAGAAACGTGCCCCATTCTCAGAAATAGGTCTGAAAGCAAGAAAAAAATTGTAGAAAATGTGAGTTTGCATCTTTGCTGTCTATCAGTAGCTTTATGGAATTAATTTTATGAAGACAGAAGCTTGCTTACACCAAATAAACTATTTTGTGGGTAGAACAGAACTGTTATATACATAGAAAAAGAAAGGCATGCTAAGTGCAGTGTTTTAAAAGTAAAGTCAAATTTAAATGGAACGGTGTCAAAAATTGTAAAGAGTGTAACTACCAATAGCATGTGCATCTTCAAATAAGATCTTAAACATAAATTACTGCAATTATTACTGAGAGGTCTGTGGTGTTTGTTAGATGTGAGACAAAAGTAGGTAACCTAGCCTAATTCTAACCTTTTCTTCTTCTAGAAACTTTGACTATATGCCCAGTTAAGGCCTACTAAAAGGAGAAAATTCTCATGGCAGACAAGCTCTGCTTTGCTAGTCTGTTTGCAGAGAAGCTGCACTTCTGCTCTGTGATGGATGTGATGGAATAGCTGATAAGTAGGCTATTCAGCTGTATTGAAATGTGCATTTTCTAACAATTAATAAATCTTAGGGCTGAGATGCCTTTTCTACCTTTTTCCACCAACTGTGTCTTCATCTGCCACAACCTTCCCAACTTCTGTCAGTCTGTTCTAATATCGGTTCCTGTCCATGTGTCTTCCTCCACTTCTCCTCAATTAATCAGTGCTGATTTAATTTATGAGGTTGTTCATCTGGGCCTCTGTTTAACATCTTCTTGTTTAGTAAAACCTTGATTTAGGCTCCCATCCTCTTGCCAATCACTTCCAGTTCCTCCAGTAATATCCCAGTCCTTATCTCTGTTCTTAACCTAGCCAAGCCAAGCTGATTTTCCTCACTATCCTGTCTCTCTCTCTGCATAGTCCATTCTCCAGCCTGTCTTAGCAGCCTTGCCTCTGGTCTTGCTCTGGCTTATTTGTCAGGTGAGTCACTGCTTGCTCTGTAGAAAATCTTTTCACAAGATTTTATGCCTTTCCCATTTTGTCTCCTGTCTACCCTTCACTGATCACATTGTGTACTGCATTTTGAGTGTCTAACTCTGGTAAATAAAGAAAGGGAGGCCATGTTAAGTACCTAATGTTGGATAGTTGATGGTAGGAATAACATCCAAAGTTCCTCTATAATCACTGGGGGGAAAAGTAGATGCCTTTTAGACGTGGTTCATGATAGCAAAGACAGCTGCTTGAAGTAAACAGTGCGTATAGTCCTTGGTATCAAAGTTATCAGAGTAACCATAAGCAAATATGACACTTCCTCAATAGACTGAAGCAGATTCTTAAGGCTGATGTACTGTTGAAGTTTTACAGCATTTTTCCTGAGATCCCCAGTATTCAACTTAACCTGAAATATCAAACACATTTTCAAATAGTGATTTTATAAAATAGTGCCTGCTACAGAAGTTTTTCAAAGTAATGCAAATAGAAATACTACTACCCTCTTACTTCATGACGAAAATCCTAGATCCACAGTCATTAGTCTTTGCAGTGGAATTGCATCATTGGTGACACAAGTAGTAGTCCTCCAGGAATGAATAAATAGACTGACCTTTTGTCACACATAATGAATATCCTACATAATCCTTGAGTGACTCCACCTAAATACAACAGAGTTTATTACCTGAATTACTGCAAAACCAAAATAAATAACAGTGTGTTGAATATTGGGATCCTGTTCCCAAAATCATGGATCTTCTCTTGGGAGAAAAGTAGAGTTAAATGACAGAGGATAGAAAAGAAGAAAGAAAGGGAGCAGACATTCTCACATGTGTGTCTCATTTAAAACTTTAATATGTTTTAATAAAACAACTTAATAAAATCAATAGACCAAGATTGATTTTAGGCATTAAGGCATTTTAGGTATTAAGGCATTGTTTATATAGCACACAAAAGTAGTAAGGAAACTTTTGGTTTGGTCTCTTTAAGAAGTAGGGCTTAGGAAATCAGGCTGTTCAGAATAGCTGGTGCGGTGGGCTTATGGTAGGGGCTGTTTTGTCAGAGTCAACAGAAGTAGCTGTAAAATCACAGCCTAATTCCGAATGAGCTATTAAAATGTGCACCAGTGGTGTTTGGCCCAGCCACTGTCATCTCCTGCTTCTTCTTACCCCCTCTACTCTAGCTGTCATCCAGAGGCTTGTACCTGGGCAGCTTCCCTGTTCATGCTTTCATGAATCTGGAAATATGATCTTACAAGCAGATAAATACCACTGAGGGAAAGACTTCATAGGAGCTTCATTCTTTCTGGACACCAGAAAATAAGGAGTATGATGCAAGCAAACTTAAATCAGAGTTTGTGTTTTCTTAGATGTTCAGTCAATCAGGCTTAAGACACAAATGCAAAAGGAAAAAAAAAGTTCCAAACCACGACATTTAGATTGATTTTCACTGAACTGTGCTTTAATTAATCTAACTTTCAACTTTGGTTTCTAGGAGGACAATTACTAGAATGACAGCTTTGGTATTTTTCTCCTGGGAAATGATTAGCTTCATTATTTAAATAATCAGATGAAATCTGGGACTAACAAATCTTAATTTCATACTAAATTAGAATACCATGTCCAGTTTTAGACACCAAACTTGAAGAAAGAAGAGAATCAACTGGAGACAGTCCAAAGAAGAGTAACAAGGAAGATCAGAAGTGTAGAAATTATAACCTAAAAGAAAAAAATTGAATAAATTATGTTAGTTGAGTCTGACACAGAAAAGATAGAACAAAGACATTAAAATACAAGAGGTTGTTCCAAGGAGGAAGAGAACAATCTATTTCCTTTGCCTGTGTTTGATAGAACAAGAAGTAATAGGCTTAAATTACAGCAGGGAAGATTTATTTTTAAAATTACAGAAAACTTTAATGGTGAGGATAGGGAATAGATTGCTTGGCAAGCTTTTGGAGTCTCCATCTCAACTGGAGATCTGTAAGATCAGAGTACTTGAATAACTGCTTCCTGCAGGCAGGAGGATGGATTAGGTGTTGTCTTGAGGTCCCCTCTAGTTCTTCTGTATATTTTATTCTTGTAGTAAAACTGTAGTTAAAAAGATAGGATTCACGTACACTTCTTACACCATCTCATCCTGGTCTTCAAGCAGTGATAAAATCCTTCTGAAGAAGAGAGAGTAAACAATGCTATTACTCCAATGATATTGTAATGAAAAATGGAAATACATCTTGGAACAAAGTACTTTTTGATATACCTTCATTTAGATAATTGCACAGAAGTACTTGGAAAGTTGGCTGTAATAGAGGAAAAGCAGATAATGTGATAAAATTCATTTGTTTAAAATTACTTTTTCGGCACCTGTTACTGTTGTATTGAATGATATCACTGTAGATCACTCATGTGGGAAATTCAGAAATCAATTGAATAAAATTGCCCTAATTGCATTCAGAATACTAAATATAGTTTTAGATTTTTATTCTATCATTCATTCTATTTTAAAGATTTCATTTAACTGGAAATATTAGAAGTAGCATTTCAGTTCTCAAAAGTTGTATGTATCTGTGAAATCCATTAAAAAACTTAAAGAATAAAGGTTATACATTTCAGAGATAACTTTAAAAGTCTTTATTACTGTCTTTGTGGTTGAATCTTCCAGAATAAAACAGTTGAGCCAGGGAGGATGACTGACTACTTGTAAATCACAACTCTCAAACACATGCTCCTGAGACAGAGTTTAGAATTTTATTTTGTTTAAGTCTGGGCAGTCTTTATTTTTATAGTTTACGTTATAACTTCAATGCAGTTTCTTTACATTGCCTGTAATATGACTGAGGCATAGCACTCCTGCTGCAGAATGTCACAGAAATTGGACTTGACTGTTCTGTTTCTTTCCCCTTTAGCTGCTTAGACCTGAGAAGATCTTGAGCCTGAAGAAGGACACTGTCAGCCATCAGACCTGAGCAGCAAAATGCCCCTGCTACCACTGAGCCATGTTCAGCTGGGTCTTTCAGATGCAGTTGAGTTTTTCAGATGCAGACCTTGCGAGACCATTGTGCCTACAGGTTCCAGATTTCCCAGAATTACAGAATATGCCAAGATGGAAGGTACCTCCCAGGATCTTCAGGTGCATTTTCTAGCCCTGCTTAGGACAGTCCCCAGGAGTCCTACCGTGTGCCTGAGAGCACTGTCCAAATGCTTCTTGAACTCTGTCAGGCTTGGTGCTGTGACCACTGCCCTGGGGAGCCTGTTCCAGTGCCCAATCACCCCTCTGGGGGAAGAACCTTTTTCTAATATACAACCTAAACCTCCCCTGACACAACTTCAGGCCATTCCTTTGGGTCTTGTCACTGGCCACCACAGAGGAGAGATCAGTGCCTGTTTGTAGAAGGAAGCTGTAAATGCAGTGAGGTCTCCCCTCAGTCTCCTCCAGGCTGAACAGACCAAGTGTCCTCAGCCACTTTTCATACAGCTTCCCCTCAAGGGCCTTCACCATCTTCATTGACCTCCTTTGGATGCTCTCTAATGGCTTAATATCTTCCTTACGTTGTGGTGCCCAAAATTGCCACAATATTCAAGGTGAGACCGCTCCAGTGCAGAGCAGAGTAGGACAATCACCTCCCTCGACCAGCTGGTGATGCTTTGCCTGATGCCCCCCACGACATGGTTTATGGCACGTGGACTGAATGTGGCTGGCTGGACACTTCACCTTGCCCCAGGCTTACATCAAACCTTCTTCTTCTCTTCCATTTTCTCGTCAGAGACAAGATACACAGATACATATACATGCAAGGGGAGAAGAAATGTGCCATTGGTACATGCATTTGCCTTTAAAATAGTTATATTTGAGTCCAGCGATATCCAAATTTAGGTGATTTTGCAAGCTGCAACAGCAAAAATTGATACACTGGAAGGATGTGGCTACTTACTCAGTGAACAGGGAACTGTGCCAAAATTTTGGAGGCTTCACCAGAGTGTAAATGTTAGACATGGGTACCTATACTCCAGCATACATGTGTAGAGACTTCAGCACAGGGTAGGGTTATCTGAAGTTAACTTTAAATAAAATTGGTCAGTTATTGGAAGGGATCTGGCCTCAGTAACAGGCCACTCCATCCACAGAAGTTACTAAGAAGTTACTAAAGTGCTCTGCCTTCTCAAAACCATGTAGCTTCTACTGACTGAAGTGAATTGCTTAAAGCAAACTCAACAGGACCTAGCCACTGGTAGTTTTCAGACTGTACCCACAGCAAATTCCTGGGACATGTTAAAACATGGAGGGTTAACAAGACAAAAGCTCATGGCTATCCATGAAAAAAGGATAAACAGTGGCCCAACCCACTGGGAATCTCCGCACTATTCAACAACTTGCTGACATGCGTAAATTTCCCATGGCTGTAACTCTTGAGAACGCAATCATATGAACAACACATGAAAATGAAAATAAGTTTAATAAACAGTCATTTTTTTAATTGAGAAGCTCAAAAGGGAATAGATGGTTGCAAGAAGCAAGAATCTTCACAGATTTTTGTTACATTTTCAAAACCAGTACCTCTATTCTCGGCATTTGTGTTTTCTAATGGAGATCAGACACATGTTCAAAGGAGTTTTACAGGTATAATTCCTTACATTCAATAGCCACAATGGATTTTAAACAGTTTCATAGCAACGGATGGTTCATTATGACCATTAACTTAGATAAGGGAAGATCAGTTTGGCACATCCGTAATGGTCCATAATGGTTTGTGGGTAAAAAATTCTTTCTCTTCATCTGTTCCTAAACCATGCTTTTTCAGTTTTAGTTTTTGGTTGATTTTGTTTGAGTTTTTTTTTATTTTTTTTCCCCCTAGACTTTGTTTTACAAATCAGGTTCATATGAATTCTTGCATTCAGGAAAAAAAAAATCGTACCTAGTAGCTTTGTGTTAAGAACATTTACCACAAAAAAAGTTTATGTTTCTCTGGAATGTAGTGGCCATAGTTTATCCTAACAGATAATCAAAACTTTTTAAAGTTGAATATATACCTTGACAGCAGCTAAACAGATATTCCTAAATTGCAGAGATTTTTAAATGACTTTTGCTATACCTGTTGAATTCAGAAAGGTAACATACTGTTTTTAATGTTAAATCCTGTTATGCTGCTGGGACATGTCATAGTTCTTCTCTGAGACAAAATATTGCTAATGCCATGGTAGAGGAGGAAGTCACTGCAATACCTGATGATGGAGCTGACACAAAGCCTTGGGAAGAGCAGAACCCAAGCTCTGCAGGAAATGCAGATCTGGAATGTAAGGATTAGTGCTGGGATGTTGTGTTATCCAGAGATGCAGGTGTCTCAGCACGAGAGCAGTTGTGTTGGCAGAGGCTTCTGGTGGAGGCATGGCCCTTGCTGTGGGAGGAAGACATCACATCTTGGAGGAAATTACACCACCTCTCAGAGTGGTGTATGTTTGGCATAAGTACTTCATCCCCCCCAACTCTCAGGGAGCATTGTGTTGGCACAGTGTGTAATCTAGGGCTCGTGATTTACTTACCCCACACGTGTGCCTTCAGTGAGTAGCTATGTAGGCAGCCTTTTTCAGCACATGCGTGGGCCTGTTTTCATCCCTGAGACTCTACTAAGGCTTACTAGATAGTAACATAAACACGTGTTTTAAAAATAATGCTTTATAATATACTGTGGTGCCCTACATGATATTTCAGACTGATTCTATGGTGATGCATATTTGCATAAACCTTAGTGAGACTTACAAAAGTAAGTGCCAAATTTTAGAGAAAATTGGATTAAATGACGTAGTTCTCTGTAGTAAAGACTTTAAATTTTAATCAAATTTTGAGTTTGAGACTAGTAACTCTTAGACTGGATGCTAACAATTACTAGATTTCCAAATAGTGCTCATTATCACCAATGTATTTGTATAGCAGTGATTCCTAGAAGTATGAAACAAACTTTAAAAGCCAGCATTTTCCTTTCCCAAAACTCTGATTTGGATTTTGTTCTGTTTTTTTTTCCCAGGTGTACCTAGAGTGCTACCCTGTGATGCTGCAAACCTAGTCACCCCTGGGCAGACTTCTGTAAGACACCTGTGATGAAGTGTATTGGTGCAGTTCTTCCCAGTGATAGGGCAATGCAATACAATCCTAATCTTGCTTAATATGTGGAACAGGCAGAAAGATGTTTGATTCTTTATTATCTGCCTGATATGCAATCTTTACAGAAAAAACATGAAAGAGATGGGCTTGAATTCTGGTCTGTTATCCCTCATGTCTGTGGTCACAATGCCTTCCCACTTCAGTGGTATTCAGAACTTCGTAAATACTACAAGGTTTATGGATTTCAAATTGTCCTCCAATTTGGGGTTTATTTTCCACATGGCTCTGGGGACTCTGTGTTAGACCAAATAGATTGTTTATGGGTGGTGGAACTGCTGAGTCACAGACCCTTTCAGGTAGTTCCAACCACTGTTGAGCTATTAAGCTCTGTCTTAACTCACAAGGAGAGATTTTCACATCATGTTTCTCAGGACCACATAATGGTTGGGGTTGGAAAGGACCTCTGGAGATAATCTAGTCCAACCCTCCTGCTAGAGCTGGTTCACCTGGAGCAGGTTGCGCAGGATTGCATGTAGGCAATTTATGTATCTATGGAGGATCATGAGAACACTTTGATCATAAACAGTAAGGAGCTTTCAGTAAGACATTTTTGTAGTTAGGCAGTTTTAACTACAGTTTTAATAACCTTAGTGAAACATCATATTTTTAAAATAATTAAGAAGTTTGTTGTGACCTTAACACATTACTAATACAGAATTACTTAAAAATAAATTAACCCCTAGAAATTATGTGTGGTGGTATAGAATAACCTCCAAGTCCTAGCTAAGCCCCTCCTGGCTACTGCAAAATTTAATCCTGTCCTGGCTGGAACCAGGACAAATGGGAATAAGAAACCTCTAGCAATTCCTTGCTTCCAGTCTACTTCTGGAATTCTTTTTAGTGAGTAGGGACACATGTGACTAAGAAAGACAGTAAGTGTCCATTAAATTTCATACAATCTCAGTTTTATCTGATGGTCAAAAGTCTTTAATACTTCTGTGACTTCCACTGTTCTGCTAGATTTGGTTGGAATTGTCCAAGAGGTTGAAAAATTACCAGACAAATCAGGGTAATAGTTGAGTGAATGGATAATGAGCCTGTATAAACCTCATTTCCTTACGACATTATACAGCAAAGTGAACAATCTGCTGGATGGGGGCATCTTCAATATTTAGCAGTATAGATGTTTTGTTTCCGTTGTTAATCTTACTGCCAGTTTGTGGAGAAAAGTTCTGTTTGCTTAACAGAAAATATCCTAATCAGTCTCCATCATGTTTGGCTTTTTCTTTGGAAAATATGTAAGAGTTAAGCTGAAAATATTCTACCTCGAGTTATCTGTAGTTAGCATTTCTGATCAGAACATCCAGTTCTTTCTTCTCACTTTCCTTTTAAAATTATGTTTTTATTTCAACCACTTTCTAGCAGCAGGCAAAGCTGCTGTTACACTCTACCCAGCTGTGAAATCAATATGATTTTCATTACAAAGATAACAGAAACTCTCTTAGAAAGACTGTGAATTGCCAAAGGTCAAATAACAGTCAGTGGCAAAGCTTAGAATTTAGATATACTAATTAAAAAATCCTGTGGTATAAATATATTAATGAAATGCACCCTGAGAAATGTTTGCATTTAAGATGGCAACAATTTTAAGGTATTACAATATTTCTTTAAGTACTGTAGTTCATGTAAGCCACATCAAACTGTGACAAATTCTTTCTTTGGTTTATGATTATTTCTTATAAAAATAGGTATTAGCTCTTGTTTATTTTTTTAATTCACAAATATTCGAGTTTTGTTAGATTAGAAAGTGTAACAGTCACAGAAAACAGAGCATATCTAGTAAGATTTTTGTCATATTGGACTATAAAAATTACCCAGAAACTGAATGAATGGGTGCATCAGTTATTTTTGTAATATATGACTTCATTAGGAAAAAGAGGAAGTGCACAGTCAAACTGAAAGCGGCACTTGAGTCTTTCAGCCAAAGTAAGACAGTTCTATTTAAATTAAAACCATTTTAAAATAAATGTTATTACTCTTCCTAAGATTATCCTTAATCTCTTCTTTTAAACCTTAATTTTTGCAGTAGTTAAATTGCATCTACCTTATTATAGATGAAAATAACAGTAAATAAATTACTTTGTTACTTGCAGTTGTTTGATATTCCTCTCTCATGTCTCTCTATTTTTATTTAAATTCTGTCATTTTCATGCTATGTGCTAAAACTAGACTCAGATTGCCGAATATTGTGGATTTTAATAGAAAAAGTTCCTCACCTTACAGCTGAGGGTTTTTTGTGTTACTGTGCTCCCTCTGCTGGATAGTGCATGTTAATTTTTTATTCCCTGAGCTGTGCTAATATCCATGTTCTGTAAACAAGCAATCACACTGCCTTAATGAAAGAGGTATAAAAAGTGGGAATGCGTCATTTTGGTCTCAGATAACATGGAAAGTGACATCTGTAGGCTTGGAAAAATCCTGCTGTCTGGCAGCTCAAAAAGCCTTCAGTGGACATTTGAGGAAAAATAATTTACTATCTCTCTAAAACCAGATGGACACTAGATAACCTCCTTTCATTTGTATAACTTAGAGAGGATGATGTTGATTCTCATACTCTGGTAAGTACAACAGTATCCTCAGATGTCCCTGTAATGTTATTAGTGTCTCAGCCTTAGCGGTGTTGTTCTCATAACTTGCTTCACCCTTTGTTGAATCTTACAAAGTAACTGGTGGGCAAGTGTTTGCTTCAGTGGAGAAAGCAAACATGCTCTCTTGGTCAGTTCCAGCCCCACAGCAAGGTGATGACAACTCGGTCCTTCGCCATCTCTACTGCAGTGAGGCAAAAATGATTTGCTTCTAGAGGAGATTTTGGCCTTTGACTTCATGGGGTGTTTTGGGCTAGCTCTTCTGCTTACCTTTCTCCCACTGCTGTAACACAGTGAACCTGGTTTTGTCCTTCCTTCCTCCCTTCCTCCCTCCCTTCCTTTCACCCTTCCTTCCCAGAGGGATGTGGCTTGAGTGGGCACCCTCAGCACAACTGATTCCATCTCGCACCTCTCTCAAGTGGCCCTGGAACCTCCTAACCCAGGGGCCACCCAGGCTACCCCATGGAGCACTGCCTGGATCAGCCAGCCCCTTCATTCCACAACCTCCCAGCTCTCTATGCTGGCTGACCCAAGAGGCCCTAAGGAAAGGAGATGGAAACTCAGGATCCACTTCAGTTGCAGGTGATTTGCTCGTCTAAGCTGCTCTTCCTGGATCTTGAGCCAAGTTTTTTCCAGGGAAGCTGGATACCTTTACAGTTTCCTTTAAATTTAATGTGATGTTATAAATGCAACTACATATTAGTAATATCAAACTGGGAGGTTTTTTTCCAGCTTGGCTTGACTGCACTTACAGATTGGCCTCCCAGATGTGTCTCCCATATTTTAATATAGAACAGGCTAGTAGCATATTCTTTAAAATAAATAAAAAATTGCCAATTTTCAGGGATAATAACTTACGTTATAAAACCAGAAACTATTTGACTCCTGGTTTAACTGGGAGCCTCGTTTTGGGAAAAGGCATTATGGTCAAATTCTAGTTAAGAATTTTTTTCCTAATGTCAGTTTTAAATTTCAATATCTGGATATGTAAAATAATATTTATTGTCTTTGATTGTCCTGAACAGTCCTACGGTGAAGTAATTAGCATAATTATATTCTCTATGATTCTAATAAATAAAACCAACTTCCATCTACATGTACATTTTCTTTTACAAAGGAAGTTGCTTTTTTAAACCACTTCTAGAAGAAAAAAATGGTTAAAAGAATAAATTTCCAGTTCCTAAAACCTTCAGTTCTTCCTGTTCAGAAGAAAAGACAGATGTTTTATACATTTTTCTTTTGTTAAAATAATAAAAGCTTGTGCTGTTGAATAAATATTCTTCCTTAATTTAACAAGACCCAAATAGAATCAGTGTTACCATTTGCAGGACAGCTTGTCCTAGGGTGAATCAATGACAGTTCTGCTGTTGCTGAGGCTAGGAAGGACTTCTGCAAAAGGGACCCTCCATGCAGGAGCTTCCAGGATCAGGTTGGAAATCTTTTGCCTTAAATGTTTATTGAGTTATAGCAGCTAAAATACTTGACAGTGCTTGTCTCAGCAAGAGCACACACCATATGCTTTGGGAACATTCCCAAGCAGAATATTATCCTCCTAGTGCCCCAGCAAGCTCATTAATACTCGAGTTATCCCATTCAGTGGGACTAATCCAGCAGCCCCTGAAGTAAGTGAGGAGATTCAAGTTGTCTTTAGAATGCTTTGAATAAAACCTTAGATGAAGTTTGTATAGTTTAAGTCACACCAGTGGAATTATTTTCCAAAGTTATAAATGTTAGCTCATTTGCCACTTTCTTTATTCCAAGCTACTTGTTTTCCTCCATCTTATGAAGGGCAGTGATGTGAATTGGAAAAAGGAATATATTTTTATAGCTGGATTTGACTTTGTGTACATTCCAGCTATTTTCCTAAGTTTTTCAGAGAAGGACCGGAATAAGCTTGTATTGGCATTCCATATAATACTAACTCAAATGCAAATTTATATGTTGAACAAGTCTTTTCTCGAAATATGTGATCAGTTCATGGGGAGAACTGTGGAAATTTTGTAGTTGGTGTGGATAAGGAAAGTGCGAGTTTAAGCTATTGTAGTTTTCAATCAATTCTAGTAATCTTTTATTGCTCTCTGGCCATGCAATACATTTAATAGAAAAATAATCTTTTACAAAATAACTTATTATATGTAAGAGAAGAAGAATTGGGTTTTGCCAACCCCCGCCTCCCCCTCCCCTGGTCCCAGTATTTTGCCAGACTATATTTCCTCATATGTTGTAAAATTTTCACTTCCATTCCTTTTAACAGCAGATTTGAATTTTAATTTGGAGGGGGTGCAGGGGGAAGAATAGGATACGTGGGAAGTGAGAAAGCATGAAGTTAGAAAAAAACAGACAAAAGATACTATTTCAAATAAGTATATTTATAACTTAGATCAAACAAGAAGAAAAGACTGGAGAGGATCTACTCCAGATTCACACTGATGTGGTAACAATTGCTATTACAGTATCCAGCTTTTCGAATTAAATGTTGATAGAAATAAATGAATAAAAGACTGAGTAAACAGAAATGTGTATTCTGCCTTCCTAAAGCTTTTTTTCCAGCATCTGGAGTACCAGAATCAACACCCTTTTATACAATTAATAGTACTAAATAAGGACATCAGCTGACAGGAAATAAGAAAGTTCCTATGGCAACTAAAAATAAGCACAGGAGGAAAAATGCATCAAATGCTGTCAGCAGACAGCATGAAAGGCGGCTGTATGTAGATAATAAACCATGAGCATACACAGAAATAAATCCTACTTGTAAATATATGCATTTTGATTGCTTTTACTGGCACTTTTTTCTTTTGTTTTGTTTTTTTTTCCACCTAAATGGGAATGTGATACCTTCGTTACAGCATCTACTTACCAATATCTCAGATTGTTTTGCTGAGATAGGCTCCTGGTTTTACAGCCTGTGAAGCACAGGGATAGAGCCGTGCATCTTCAGGAGAGCACCTATATCCCCTTGGATTTGTATGCTGTTTAAGAAAGCCTTTGATGCTTCAAATCTCGTGCACTTCGGCACTTTCTCTGCATGTTACTCTCGAGTTCCTGCATACAAAATATCTGAGCAAACTTTTTGATAGAAGCCGAATGTCTGTAAGAGATGTGACCTGTGGAAGAAGCAGGGCTGTACACATCATGTAGACATTACTTACATTCATTTAAAGTTACACTGAGCTTGAAAAGCTGTAGATGGTAAAGTCCCTGGTGGAGAGGAAACCTGAGGGTGCAGCTGCACTGCTGAGGCCACATGCGAGCTGCTCCTTTCATCTCAGTGGGAGAACTAGTTTTGAAGATAGTTTAACTCTTGAAATTCCTGACTTACCTGCTTTTCCTTCCTATCTGATCTTCCTACCTTCACCTCTTTCATAAAAAGCAAACCCAACACCCCTCCCACCCTTACCAGTCCTGTAAATGGCAGAGACAATGCATCGCTTCCCCTTTGCTCTCCCTGCTCTGAAACTGTTGCCCGTGCAGACACATCCAGGCTTCCCCTTCTGATGCACAGATGCCAAGTTTTGATAGTAAAACTCTTCTGCTGAGCCATAGAGGACCTCGCCAGAGTGGCTCTGTTCGCCACAGGTTGATGGGGAGACAAAACCACTGTCTATCTTGGCCAGCTCAGGAAGAAAGCGGAGAACATTCCACCCTGCAGGTAGCAATGGGATTGTATTTCTTCCCTGTTAATTCTATCCTATTAAGCGATAAAATGTAAGAGAACGCCAAAGCAAGACCAAAAGCAAGAACTGGGAGAAATGTGGTCAAACTGCCTTGGTGCTGGTAGAGGCTCTTATCATTACTCAGGGTGTCTGTAATTTATGATTTTTTATGTGTCTGTGCTGATTGCTGACACAAATTTTGAATTCAGCACTCAATTGAAAAAGGAATTCCACTGTTCCAAAGGCAACTTCATTTTCAGTCTTAATATTATACATCTCAGAGGACTTTCTGGGGCAAAAAGATCTCCTCAGCTATTGTGGGCAACTTCGTCATATAATTGCTTCTATAAAATTAATTGAGATGTGTTCCTATATATACTTACATAGCTTCCCTATCCTGTTGTTCCGTGCGTATGTGATAGTGTATGTCAGATGTAACCCATGATTATGTGACTCAGGCTGCAAGTCTACACATGTAACCACAGGCATGTGAAGTATGAATAGATACCAGCCACTGATACTATTATAGCTTATTCTGCAGTTTGGGTATGTACAGGCTGTTCTGAACAATACCCAGCCCTGTTGGGACTATACTTGCACTGCCTGCAAGTCACTGCATGTACCACCCCAGAGAAATCTAGGAACTGATCATTAGGTAGTCCAAACAAAACATCAGAAACTGGTTGATAGAGTCACTCAAAGGGAATCACTTTCTCAAACTGTCTGATGAGAACAAACATAAACACGTCGTGTTTTGCTTTGACATAATTAGCACAGCAAAGAAATTAGCTGTGTTCTGATTGAGCAAAGGTGTATACTACACATAAGTACTCCAGCAAACAAAATGCTTCTGAAATTATCTGAACCAGGATGTCACTATAAAGGGAAATTGCAGATTATATTGTAACAGAAATTCAGGAGATGGCAGCTGAATGTTGGCAATTACCTTCGCATTCATAACAAACTCATTTTCATTCATGTCTTGTCTAGCGGGCAGAGCAGCCTGCGTCCGTGGGAGCTGCAGGTCTCGTGTTAGGGAACATTTGGTCTCTGAGCCACACATTCCTGGTGGTGTCAGGCAGGTACAGCCTGAAGCAGGAGGCAAGGCACAACCCGTTCTGTCCTTCCCTCCTGTCTGGGAGTACACCGTGCTCTTCAACAGCTAAAGGAACTTATTGACCACTTCCCTGGTGCTGCTACAGAGCTGGGTAATTGCAGTGATTACAATGATTAGATTACAATGTAGTTTTTCCTACTGTGCTTGTGAAATGTTGCAGCTCATCCCACCTTTTATTCATGGCAGATGGTAGATTTGCTGAGTGTATGAATGGGTGCTGCAGGACTAATCCGCTTTTTCCACCCCCCACAGCTTGGTTATATTCTTCACCTTGTGTGAACTAGCAGGGCAGTAAAATATACAGCATGTCTACTTTGTGCAAGTCAGACTTGACATTTCATTTACCCTCTCATGTTCAGTAGTTCTCTGATAAATGAGTTGAAAATAACAGCAACCAATGACAAGCAAACAGAACATCAGTGACCTCGTAATTTTTGTTCCTTGGATGAAGAGTTAGTCCTGATTGGCTGAAGAATTTAAACACAAGTATTAAGAAAGAGTTAGAAGAAACGAAATATATAGTTTAAATATTTGCATTAAGCAAGCCTGAAAGAAGACATTGGGACATTGGAATTAAAAAGTCTAGGTTGGGTTTTGTTTGTTTGTTTGTTTGTTTTAAAATACATGTTTTCAAATAGAAAATGCCAATGTATCTCTAGCAAAATTAGTTTAGCTGTAACATAGAATGAACTAAGGTATTGTACTTATGTCTGTAAGACCTGTACTAAAGGCTGCTATTAGTAGCTCAGAATATGATTGCTGAAATGCTGACTTCTCAAAATGCCAAAATTTATGTAGGTTTAAGTTTTAAAAATCTCTACAAAGCACAAAACCAAGTTTTCATTTGAGAAACGTTCTTCAAACAATTGAAACACTAAAAGAATTTCAGAAGTCTTGTTTGTGGAAGGGATAAAAGAAATATCTTTTTTCTCTGCTGTGGTATTTGTCATCTTTCACTGTAATAAAGTCCAGCTCCATTGGGCCTGATGAACTTTTTGACAACAGTGTTTGGCTTACCTACACTGATGCAAAAATTTCTCCTCTAGCAACAGCAACAGTTCTTCTGGCAAGTGCAATGCAGTCAGATTAGCTATTCAGCACTGGTGACTGGGTAGACCCAGAAGAAGAGAGGGCTCCTGTGTTGATCATCACTATTTCAGCAAACTTGTTGAAACTGTGTGTCTGGTGTAGGATAGGGGAAGCAGAGGCACTCACACAGGGTGTGAAGAGTTCAGGTAATTCCTGCTGACCAAGAATGTGAACAACCTTCTAAAAGAAAAACACTTTTCAGCTGGAAAGAAGAAGTAAAAATGGGAAAAAAAGAAAGAGTAAACAGGACTGCCTGTGCAATATTAATGTCTACTGTAATGAATTTTTCCTTTATAGAGTGCCTACTGTTCTATTAAGAACTCAATACTAACAGATCTCTTGTTTCCTGGATCACTTGCAGATTATGAATGACAATTCTCTTTGCTTCATTGATCAAAATGTCAACAAATGTTTTTGTAATAAAGTTAAGTTAGTTTTTGAGGATAGTATACTTCGAATAAAACATTTCGTGGTGACTTAGTGAGCACTCAGAACAAAAACTTCTGAAATACAACAAAATTGGACAGCATACACACAGCAAGTCAGTCTGTCTTGGTATGCGAGATTGCTCAGAAACCGAAGTAAAATTCTGTGGGTCAAATGTTCTGTTGGCATAGTTATCCTATTCTGTTGGAAAGAACTTTTCTCATTAAAAACAAATGTAAAATTTTTCATGAAACTGTTTTTCAGCTCATTTAGAGCAGCCTCTTTCATGTGCTTATTCCCAAGGGACTCAAAACACTCTTGGCTACTACTGAAATGAAAGTCAAAATTGTTTAGTACCTCACAGGATTGAGCTACAAGTAATCAGGGCTGATTGCACATTCGTGGGACCTCGGGCAATGATGTAATGCCATCTACTCAGTGACCTACTATACTTCATAAATATAGCTGTCTCACAGGAAACTCACTGCATATATTTAACCTGAGAATAATAAAAAGTATTTCATTGTATTAGTAAATTAAAAAAAAAATCATTACACTTTCAAAACTGAGAGTACTTCTTGCTTTGAGTGCAAAGTTTTTTCCTTGTTCAATGTGTTTCCGTTTCTTCAGCAAGTGTAATTTGGAAAAGAAATATATGACTGATGCATTAAAATTGGAAAAAAGTCTAAACGATGACAAAATGTAGCGTGATGATTAGTACTCGTTAGCTATATTGAAGGCAGAAACATGTGGTAGCCTAAATTTGCTCATGATTATAAATGACATTACTGGAAAGTCCAAACTATACCACAGCTTTTGAGATAACCAGGTTATCTTGCACATGCAGCTTAAAAGGCATGTGGCAAAAGGGCATGTGACAGGCATAAGTCACTGTCCAGAGCCCAATGCAGTGCATAAATATCATTCACATTGCACAGAACATATTTATAATTTTATACTAATGTATGATAAGGAAATTTTTAAAAAAAGTCTGGCAGGAGTGTTTAAAATCTTCTTATTGTAAGTCACAGGATTAATTTATTAAGCATGGGCTCCAAATTCCTGTTCCAAGTTCAGGCCCTTCAGGGCTAAGCATACAGGGATGCTGAGTGCCTGGGAATCTCCTGATCACAACGGACACAAGACAGAGGGGAAGCTGCCAGAAACCTCCCTTCTTTTGAAGGCTGCGGTGATAAGAAGAATGAAAACCTATGGGGCTTGTATCCATAATCAGCTACTGATTGTGTGAGCTGAGGAAGGGAAGCTCCAAGGATGCCAACTTGCCCAATGAGAGGCCTGAACTGGAGGAGAGGAACTAGGAAGCCCTTAGTATTCTGATCCCTCAGATGGGACAGGTTCCTTGAGTTACCCCTGTACTGCTAAGTGACCTAAGATTAAAGAGGTTCCTCAGCCTGCTGGCCACCAGGCACAGGCTGTCCATGTCCTCCCTACACATGTCCTCCCTGCATCTCTTCAGGTGCCTGGTGGCATTACCATGACCCCAGCTGTCTGAAGTGATGCTGTTGTAGTGGTGTGAAGTTGCACCTTGGGTTCCTAGGGCTGTGGCATGGAATGGGGAGGATGGCCAGGGGTGGCCAGTCATCTGGGACAGTAGTGGGGGCCAAGTGGAGGAAGGTCTGGGAGATATTGGAAACATTAAATAGTGTGGGTGATCTCCAGTCTGCTACCTTGGCCCTCTTATTTACCAGGTAAGAGACTAAACCAAAGGACTGCTTTGGATCAAGATTTAGCCTGACTTTTTTTCAGCTGTCACCCTGTGTTAATGGAAAACTTGCTGTTAAAGAGGACTGCTTTGTGAAATTGCATCAAAGAGGGATTTTTACTGTTTGTCATTGGATTGTATTTTGGTGCTAAATCACATCAATCCCAGAAGGAGGTCAGGAAAAAATGGAAAACGTGTAGCTGCTGTCATCCCAAGTTTTGTTTACATTTCTTGACATTAAAGCTCTGATTTCTGTAAGGATTTTGAAGCTGATCTTGTCTTTTCTATGTTTCAGAAGTACACTGTTAGGTACTAAATCAAATCTTGGTGTTGCTTGTAGTATGTTTTTGTATTGTAAAGTCATATGATCTAAATGATTCTCCTAGAAAAGCACATCAACACTTAAAGCCATAACATTGTAATTTTCACTTCTGCATTTTGTTACTATTTGCATGTGTTAACATTATGTATTTTAAAAATGTTAAAAGGACACAAAGCTTTGAAAGTCAAGCGGTAAAACATAATTCTCTTTCTTCCTGGCAGTAATCTGTGCAGTTGTAACTAGCTTCCTTTGGATTTATGCACTGTGATCAGTCTTTAATTAAGAGAACGCACACTATTTTTTTGTTTTTGTCAATGAACCTCTTCTGCTGAAACTCTTTAAAGTCATACACCTAGCATGGAAACATGTTTCATATAGATGGTACATTAATGAACTCAATATTTGATTTTATGCTTGTGTTAGCTGAGCATCCAATGCCTTATTCATTTCACAGTGTGCAAACCTGCAGTTATTGCGGAATTATTTGTTTCCTTATGACCATTTGTTTCATGTTCATCATTAGTGTACCCAGCTGTTTCCCGAGCAGTAATGAACTTCTTGCCATACTCCTTTGCTGAAATGAAAAGTATTATTAGTCACATTCTTCAGATAATAAGCTGGAGCAGAGGAATATAAATAATAACTTTAACTACAAATTTTGGACAGTGAATAAGAACAAAATAGGCAACTATTCCTCAGACTTTATTAGTTCATAGTGCAGCCCTCCCCACTGTCAGATGTAAATGTGAGAGCCCCACTTCTGCAAGACAACCACAGCCTTCTGCTCAGTCTGGGTATGCAGCTAAGGGACTGAGGAAGAATGCTTTGGAGAACAGGATGCTTTGGGGAATGGCTTTGTGAAGTTAGCTAGGTAAAAGGTCTGGAAAGGAGACTGATGCCTTTCCCTTAGATTTTCCCTTAGAAAACACAGGGAGTGGTCCCATCAATGCAACCACCTTGTGTAACCTCCACCTTGGTTTCCTGTCTGGGTCCTGGGCCAGGACATCTGGGAAGAACAATTGCAGAGGCAGTTTGGACTTTTAGCCTCCTTTATCCCAGGGTCAGAAAGAAAATAGGCTTACCAAGGACAGAATGCTTGGAAATGCTACTTATCAACTGCTGCTAAGCATATCCAATCAGATATTTTCTGGATTATTTATAAATTGCATACATTTTAGCATTATATCCCTCCACACACATAAAGGCACAACAAAAGGCTTATCTGTCACACAAAGACTATTCAATGCCAAATTTCAATTCCTTGCCTCCAGTCATCATACTGCCAGAAATTATTGACAAAACTGTGGTAGTAATCACTGGTAAATAGCATGATTGGCAAATAATATATTTTCTTCTGATTTTATTATTGAAAACAACTGAACAATTTATGCTAATACTATTTTGGAAAACAGACATTGGAACATTTCAGCCCCAACAGTTAAATTCTGGAAGAGTTTTGAACTACAAAAATGAAGGGTTTCTAATGGAAAGAGTTTGGCAGCACTAACTACAAAGAGCTTTACCCATTCAGTCTGCAATTGCTTCTCCCAAACTGTGAATTGCAAATCACTTCCATCCCTAATTCTTGACAGAGTTACAGTACCTGGTAAGAACACCCAGGAGTTTTAATTTTTTGTGTATGTGTGGGGGTTTTTTTTCTTAGTTTTTTTGTTGTGGTGTGGTTTGGTTTGGTTTGGTTTTGGTTTTGGTTTTGGTTTTATTTTGTTTGGGACATGGCGGGAGGGAGATTGAGTAGCTCTAGTCTATAGTATTTGTATGAAGACCACACTGCTAAAAGCATATATGGAAGTGTATGAGGATAAAATAAGAAGCAGAAATTACTTTTATGTACAAGGTACACAATACCTGTAATGAAATTTTTCAGTTTATTCATCTTTCTGGAATGAGTAGGAATAGTGTTATCTGTTATTTGCATAGCTGATAACTTAGAACTGTGTGAGAGAATCCATGTAAGGTATTTACTGTTTTGTTTTGGTGTGATTTTAGTTAAGTCAATTTAAAGTGAGAAAGACTCAGACTGTAATATCATATTAAAATGAGTTCTGTCAAAAATAAAAAAACCCAGTGTGTAATTGTTAGGTAAAATAAGTTATAAAGAAACTATATAGGGGAGTATGTGTGATTATGGTACAAATGGGGGGAGGGGGGATTGACTTTGCTCATAGAAATCCTAAGTGCAACAATGCCATAACTTCACTTATAAGCTAATCACTCTGGTAGCATGGCCTTAAAAAGAAAGCCAAAGGGCCTTATCTTTGAAGTGTTTCTGCAGCCTCAGGTAAAGACAGTACTTTGTAGAATCCATGCAGGAACGCTTTTAACAGCATGGGGTTAAAATGTGCTTACTTTTACATCTTCAGGAATCGTCAGTCATTTTGTACCTGTTTATTTCGCAGTCAGATTCCAATTACAACCTGCTGCTAGGAAACCTGTCCATAAAAGTTGGAAAATACAGCATGGAAGACATTATTATGTACTGAGGTATTCATCAGAATAGTTGGTATGTGTAATTGGGAGGGGGTGAGGGAGAGCAGCAGCAAGGCAGTCTTTTTCTTACACTTGCTAGATGTGACCCAGTGAACTTCTTGTGACTGGGAAGATTATGTCAGCACATTGCAGAAAACAGGTTTTCACTATGAGAACATTCATTCCCCAACTGCATGTGTTAGGGGACAATAGAAAAGCCAGATTGTTATGATTGATAATGCAGAGCTGATTGGACATGACAGCCATAACAGTCAGCATCCTGAGGCAGGTTTTATCAATGTGGTCACAAAATTATTGATATTTAAGATTTGAGGGTTCTGTTTAAGAAGTTTATCCTAACTACAAGAACAGTCTTTTCGACTAGGAGCTTGCAGTCTGTGTTTGCTTCCGCTCCCTACTGCAGATTGAAGGAGACACAGGATTTTCCTTGTAATCCAGGTTCCATCAAAAGCCATCCCTCCACGTCCTCACCTTATTTACTATGTGAGTCCTTCTTGGAGCTATGGCAGCTAGCATGCTACTGAAGGACTCTGTCACTGATGGAGATGGATACCTGGCTTTGTTAACATCAAAATGAAAATTTTTTCTTACCTTTTTTTTTCTTCATTTTTTTTATTCCCTGACACAACCTATATTATAGGCTGGGGCTCAGTGGGGTGATGCTGTCCAAGCGTTTTCTCACTGTGATCATGATTCATAAAGCTCCCATCTGACCTGTCCTAAATTGTACTTGTGTTATTACACACTTAGAATGCCCAGTACCTGTAGCCCCAAAATTAGATGATAGCAAGATTCTTATGATAGGAAAACAACAAAGTCACATATATTAAAAGAAAAATCTCCTTTGTTTTCCCTTTCTTTTCTTCACTTGTAAGCCTTTTAGAGGCCTTTGCACTGTATTTCAGTAATCTTTATCTTTAAGGATTCAAGCAGCTCTTGTAGCCCAAAGGAACAACTTTAAAGATGCCTATTTTACTTAGCAAGACCACATCCACTCGTAACAGAAACATATTACTTGGAATTTATAATGTAACATTGTTTCTCTCAGTCATCATAATGAACCCACAATAGTTGATTATCACCCTCAGCCCCAACACATTATCTAAATGATGTTGAGTAGCTTGTGTATCTGAACACTGAAGTCTGCTCTGTCACTTCTGTCGTCCTGTCCTGTGTTGCTTAAGGTAAAAATTGCTGCTGCTGCTGCTGCTGCTGGACTAGTGCTGTTTTCACTCTGCATGTACCTGCAACCACATAAAATCATGTACTCAGGCAGTGTGGAATTTGGTACATTTCACATTTGTAGATATTATCACTTATGATTAAAATATTTATAATCTTGAGATACAACCCATAAGTGTCAGAGTTTACGTTCATGCTTACCAACATGAAAAAGCCATCCTTTTTTCTTTAAATTGGAAGTTGTCAGTTTAAAATAAATACAGTTGTCTTTGAAAATGCTATCTATATTCACAGCAATGACAGTCTGTTCTAAGGCCTAAATTCAGTCTTATTATTCTCAGATGTTAATGAGTTCAAAAGTGCATTTTGTCTAATAATATGTATTGCACTGAGGAAGTCTTCACGTTGTATAAGTCCTTCAGAAAAGAGGGTTTGTTTGGTGTGTTGTGGTTTGTTGGTTCTTTAAAACTTTGGAGCTTTTTCAATTTCTGCTGTATTGGGTGAAGCTTTCCTGAATTACTTCCAGTAGAATTTTTAGTTGTGAGATGCAAACATAATATTTGCTTCATTTGTGTTATTTCATCTAAAGCTGACAGACTGAGTTAAAAAAGCAGAAAAAAAAGTTTCTGTGTTCCAGTATACTAACAAACTCCCAAATGGACAAGCAAAACATTAGTTGAATCTGAAAATTGAAGAATATCTGTATGTATTTATTATGCTGTTCTTGCACATATGGCTGCTTTTCAGAAGTGCCTTGGCATCTTACTGGCACTGATTTTGCCTGAGACAAAGCAGCTGGCCTACTGCAGTAATTCTGAAATCCCTCAATGTAATGAAGTGTTTTATTAGGCACTTTTGGAAGTCAGACCCATGATGACCAGAAGCAATATATCAGTTCATTAACTACAATTAATATTTCTTTACTATAATAATCTATTTCTAAATACAAAGCATTGTTCAAAAACTTCATTTTTGTGAAACAGGATTGAGGGTCATTTATTTTATTAGCAGAAGCAATTTTAGCGAGCTCTTCTTCTGTGTTCTTAAAATTTTACTTCCAACTATCATCTGAATGCTGCTTATAAAAATCTTAAGACAAAAGTGATCACAAGAAAATGTGTCTATCGCTGTTGTCTGACACATAGATGAATAATATCTGAATGAAGGTATGTGGCACAGATGCAAAAAATGTGAACAGGTTAAAAAAAACAAGTTCAGCATAACTATAGCAAAAGTTGCAAATGATCATGCCAATCAATGAAAACTAAT